TATGCTTAATTATCTAGAAACTATTAAAAAGTGACATGTTGCTTTTAATAGATTAATTCTGCACATAAGGTCAAACTTAATTAGTAAATCACGTATTTTCATTTGGTATCAGAGCCTAATTTTGATTCCTGACCTTAATTTGTCTAGATGAGTAGTTCATTCTCTGTTCTGCCCTATTTTGATGACAATAATTATGCTATTGAAAAGTTAGAATGAGAGCTTTCCTAAAATCTATGGATGAACGAATTTGGTTTAAGTGTGGTTAATGGTTGGACTACCCCTAGTTCTACTGTTAGTAATGAAGCTATTCCTACTCCCATTGCTAATTGGACTAGAACAAATTTAGATGAGTGTAATTGGAATAGCAAAGCCTTATTTATGGCAGTATCCCCTGAAGAATTGAGGAGAGTATCTATGTATGAGGTTGCTAAAGAAGTTTGAGATATTCTACAGATCACACATGAGGGAACTCAAGCTATTAAGAACTCGAAATTGCAAATGCTAACCACTAGGTTTGAGGAGATTAGAATGAGAGAAGATGAGACATTTGATGCCTTCTATGCGAGTTTAAATGAAATAGTTAATTCTAGTTTCAACCTAAGAGAGAGAATCCCTGAGTCTAAGATAGAGTGTAAAATTCTTAGGTACCTACCCGAGCGTTTCAAGCCTAAAATCATAACGATTAAAGAAAGTGAGGACATAGATTCCATTAAAGTAGAAGAGTTAGTTGGATCCCTCTAAACGTATGAGCTGACCTTAGATAAACCTATTAAAGATAAATCTTTAGCCTTGAAATCCATAAGAAACACCCGGATCGAATCTTTTGATTCTGATTCACCGGATGATGAGGAGTTATCTTACCTGGCTAAAAAATTTCGAAAAATGTTTACGAAGAAAAATTATCCTCAAGAGAGACATAATAGTGTCCCGAGTGAATCTAGGAAAAAATCTAAATCTGTGAGGTGCCCTAGTAGTGGAAGGAATTCAGATAAGGCTATGAATGCTACACTCACTATGACAAGTCTAACTCGGACAATCAGAGTGAGAAATCCACTCGGTAGGAAAGTGGATTGCCTTTATTGCGATAGTTAAGGAATATCTGACCAGGGGAGTGAAACAGAAGAGGACTTAGATAGTGATGAGGATTCTGATGAAGAGTCTGAGAGTGAGGAAGATATCCAAGAGGCTTATGATAAGATGTATGAGGAGATTCTTTGGATTCTAAGTAAGAACAAAGCCTTGAGCGCAAGAAATAAGGAACTTGAATTGGAAAATGAGAAGTTAGTAGCGCACATTAAGGNGCTTCTGATGAAGAGTTTGTGAGTGAGGAAGATATCCAAGAGGCTTATGATAAGATGTATGAGGAGATTCTTAAAAGTCTTACTAAAAACAAAGCCTTGAGTGCGAAAAATATAGAAAATGAGAAGTTTGTAGCGCACATTAAGGAATCTACCTCGATCTGAATGAGTTGAAATCCATGAATGAATTTTTAGATACTCTTAAGAACCTCACAAGTGAGCTTGAGAAGTCGTCTAGGAAAGTCAGCGAGTTGACTACTAAGAAAGAGACCTTAGAAATCCAAGTTAAGAACCTTCTAAACAATCTAGAATATTCTAAGTCTCAACTGGTTGCCTTTTCTAGTAGTTCTCAAAATTTATATAACATTTTAGGAATAGGAAAGCAGGATGGAAATAAGGGAGGTCTAGGTTTTAAGGAAAACATTGCTAATACTTCTAAACCACATTTGTCCCCGCCACTGACCAGCCCAAACGTGTGCCTAACCCCGATCTTGAGAATAAAGGTTTTGTTAGATAGAGGACTACTAAACAGCGTAGGACCCGTCGACCTAGGAATCGACGTCAGCGTCCTCATAAAATTGGTCCTAAGTTTATCCCTACATGTTTTTATTGTGGTTAGTTAGGACACATAAAGTCTAGATGTCATTATTTCCTGAACACAAATAGAAATCGAAACTTAAATAGAAATAAGAATCAGGAGTTTGTTGGTTAGATTGACTTTCTTACTGATCAAGTGAGTCAATTGACGAAGTAATTGGCACAGATGAATAAGAATACTCCTGTCACTAGGCAAGTTTGGGTAAAGAAGAGTGATCTGAAAAATTTTGTAATAGAACACAGCGCTCTTAAAGGTAAGAGCATTTGCATACCTAACTGATTAGGTATTTTTGATGCATGTTCATGCTTTATCTTCATATGATATTGATTTATGCATGCATACATCACATCATTTTATTTGTTTTCTAGGTAGAAGTCACATGCATTTTTTATTATGTTTTGTGCATTTGATTTTTTTTATGTGCTTGATGCATTCATGCTATAAAAGAAAAACAAAAAAAAATTGAAAAATAAAAAATGCGGGAAATTGGTTTTACAGCGTAACATATAATATACTTGAATTTGTTTG